CCTGCTCCTGCTGGCCACACCACTCCTGATACAAGCCAGGATGCCGCTGGCCCTCTTGGCCACCTGGGCACCCTGCTGGCTCATATTCAGCCGCCTCTCGACCAACCCCGCCAGGGCCTTTTCCGCCGGGCCCTCGTCGTGCCTGTGGATTCAAGGGCACAGGAATCGTGAAGAATTGGGGTCTTGTCTGAACTGGGAGGGAGACACTGAGGACCTGGGTTTCTTAAATTTCTACCAGCCCTTCCTTATAGCTGTGCTATGCCCTGTAACCTAGCTTTAGCCTGACAGCAGACCTCAGAAACAGCTAACGAGGTCTTACCCGTACGCAACAAGAGCCTTTGAAAGGAAGCCTGTTTGTACCAAGAAACAGATCTCCCATCAAAAGCATTCCCAAAAAAGCAGCCTGTTTGTCTAAGCCCAGTGGTTATTAAGCTAGTTGAAGAGCCACCCATGAAAAAAAAAAAGAGGAAACCAAGAATAGAATGTTATTGATTACATCAGTAGAAAATATTTAGTCTAGAAGAGTGAGAAGTGTATGAGCTTAAGTAAAGAACTTAATTTACAATTAAACATCTGTGTGTCACCTACGCTGTTTTCCCGGGGCATTTGGAACATGAGCGCTTGATACAAAACTTTTGGGTCTTTTACTTTAGGAATTTGCTTTTAATCTTAGGCAATGCCAAGCGCTCTGGAGCGTGCAGAATTTGAACCTTACATTCAGTTAGGAACCACTGACACTAAGCTGGCACAATACTGGCATAAAATCAGAGAAATACAGAAGGGAATCGAGCATCAGATCTGAAAATGGGTCATGGAAGAATTTGTGCGACTCCCTTTTGCACAGACTTTTTGATGTTTGGACAGAATGACACCCTTTACATAAACTTTACGTAACAGGAAAATCTTAACAGCTTACCCAGAGGATTTGCTGCTACCTCAGCAGCATTGCTAAAAGCAGGCAACCGATGCAAAGGGCATGTGGCAATCAGTTGCCAAAGGTGGGACGGGCAATCCCGAGCGGCTTTCCAGGGAGACACGGCACAGAGAGACCCCGGCCGGCCGCCTGCGAGCCTCGAGGTTGGGATGCAAACACCAGCAAGCCCATTTCCAGCAGCACTGGCACCACTCCTCACTTACCCCAGGTGAGAAAACCCGCTCTGTCTTTTCAGCCTTAGCTAATTTCAATTATTTGGGCTATGCTCTGCGGCTCACCACCGATCACAAGCATCCCTACCCTGTCACTCTGCCCGGTAGTTCCTGGCCCAGCAGGTAACACCCACGCTCTCCTGGTTTGAACAGCGCTCCCCATTCCACGGTGCCTCTGAGCAAAGCCAGGCTCGCGGCAGCTCCTGTGCCCTTGCAGGTATTACCCCTGCTCCGCGCCTGCCAGGCCGGAGCCACTGGCTGTCTCTGCTTGGTTGCCTTTCCCCAAGTGGGAATTTCCAAGCTCAAGTGCCAAAGAGAGAGCAAATCCTGCAACTCCGGAGAGAGCGCCTCTGGGAAAGCAGCCCCTGCGTGGCTCTGGACAACTACAATATGGGGAAAAAAAAAAAAAAATCATCGCAAGAAACTTCTTGATGCGTAGGGAAAAGGCACATGAGATGAAAGGAAGATGTTTGGAAAGTTTTCTGTGTGTCGGCCCAGCAAGACCAGGATACAGTCTTAGACTATGAGCACAAGTGCGCTCTTACCTAGAAAGGCTGGACCAGCTGATCCTTGAGGTCCCTTCCAAACTAGGATTCTGATTCTATGACATGTGTGCTTTAAAGAGAGACTCCAGGAGAGCAACCTTAAGCAAGACCGTCCATGATCAAAGCAAAGACAAGCCACTACCTGTGGTATTAATGTTAACACAGGGTTAGGCATGCTCAAGTGAAAGGAGCATCTAGAACATGGTTAGAGCTGATCCATCCAGGAACAAACGATGGTCCCCTTGCGATGGCCGGAGGTTGTAAAGACCCACCAGCACCCCCCAGAAAAAAGAAGTTGTTCAAACAATACCTGAACCCTGCAGTCAAGCCCTCAAAATGTGTTTGCTTCCCTTTTTTGAAGCCAACCTTCTCTCTACAGATAATTTAAATAAGCCACAAATCTCAGTTCAGCCTTTTCCCCCATTACCCTGCCTTACCACCCTGTTGAAGGCTGCTTGGCTACGGAGCAAAGGTGTCGCTGAACTGGAGGGCTTTTAAACAAGTGCCGTAATTAAAACCACATTTGCATCAGGGCAAGTCCAGAAAATCCCTTTCTGGCTGCACAGAAACCACTGAACAGTCTCACCACTGCAAAGGCAGCCGATATTCAACCGCATCGGCTCTGCCTTGGAAAAGCTATGGTTCAGTGGTGTCCATTAAGATCGTTATTTTGCACCACACCATATAAATGCACCCGCAAGACTCTCATTGCCTTGTTAAGGACAGGTTACCTGTGAGCTTTCAGAATCCTCTGAGCAATCGCATCCCCAATCTTGTTCCAGACAACTTTGTCATCAGCGCAGCTAATGAAAAACTGGTTCTGCAGGAAGAGCAAGCAAAGCTACTGTCAGAGGCGGCCAGCGATGAACAAAAAAAATATTTGCACGCTTTGTTTCAGACCGAAAGCAACTAAAGAGAGCTGGCTTCTGTGTGCCATTGGAGTTGATGCTTTTTTTTAAAATTATTATTAACTGATGCGCGTGTCTGTGCTTGCTTAGGGAATGAATTAGTTCTTATCACGCTCCTTAGAAAGTTCTTGTAAAGAGGTTAACGAAAAAAAGAAAAAAAAAGAAGAGGAGAATAACCGTCTCCATTCAGCCAGCACCGAGAGTCGCTGCGACGCAGAAGATTCCTGCAGCTCCAGGCTGTACGGATGCGAGAGCAGCCCTGGACGCAGGAGGTTTGGGCACGCACGGGGAACACCGCAAAGCCATGGAGGGGGCAGGAAGGCTATTGCACAAGCCGTGAAAGCTGTTGGCAATTTTGCAAAGAGGCTTATAAAGGAGACGCCTGCTTTTTGACCACCTTGCAGTCGGAAGGCTGTCAGGGTACACACCCATCAGCCTGGTCCGAAGACCACGTGAAGTCCACGGAAACAGCCCCAAAAATTCAGAGCAGATGCTGTATTAATAGCCACGTGTGCCTACATTCATTTGTTTCGTCAAGACCTGACCTCAGGAAGAAGAACTCCCCTCCTGATGGCTGCAAGCCATGCCCAGAGCGTCAGGTCCCCCACTCACTTCGATATAGATGTAGTGCTTGCTGTGTTCTATCACGCTGACGTAGGCGTTGTGGATGGACTCCTCGTGGTACTTGATGCCGGCCGACCAGTCAGCAGCAGAACGGATCACCTGGAAAGCAAGAGGATCACTCCGTCAGCTCTCAGCCATCCAGGGCGGCACAGCGTTGCAGCGGAGTTATTTCAGAGGCAACGCTCTGCCCTGGCACCCTTTGCCTGTCAGGATCTCACTAAATTGGGTAACACGTGCAGCATTCATCACTTACACTGCCTTTGTGAGAGGGAGGAAGGATGCTCAAAACCAGTATTAATGCTTAACAACATTTTGGCTATTACACACACACAAGTCCCCTGTCCTGTGGCTGCCCTCTCCCACCTGAGCAGTTCTAGATGCAATAGAAGTGGCGCAGAACTTCCGTTCCTCCTTCAGGCCTTACAATAAACTGCTTTTAAAACAGGCCACGTTTCCAAGCTTTAGGGCTGCACACCCAACCAGTGATCTCCTCCCCAGCAATATTTAAAGCCGGTCTCCAGCGTTCTTCCCCCAAGCAGGCAGTCCAGAATTATGCAGTCAGATAACGCAGGCCATGTCTTCGTCCCAGGCACTCAAGGTCATTCATTTCTTCTTGCCAAGTTCTTGCACAAGCCATCCAATTTGTCATGACACGGCTTTCAAAACTCACAGCAGTTCAGCTGCCCACAGGTATTTATTAATTTTTACTGGAAATCCACATTTAAACGAGATGCTGCGAGACCCCCGGGGCACGCTCTCCCCCTGTCCTTGTGCAGGAGAGCCAAACTACCTCGAGAAACGACCTTGGTTCACGCTCCCGGCCATGCTGAGCAATCCCGGCGGCAGGCAGATCCCGTCCCCGACTGCTGGGGGTGCCAAGGCATCTCCCGCTCCCGAGCTTTGAGTCAAGAAGCAGCCACGCTGTGCCCCGAGTGACGTTTCCCTAGTCGGAAATGTAGTTTTTAATTAAGTGTTGGCAGGGTATGTGCTCAGGGGAAATAATTAGTCGTGATTAGCCTCTGCCTTTAAACATTGTCAAGACAAAAATATTGAAACAACAGCCTTAAAATACCCCAATACAGCCACGATACCAGCACCCAGGGCCAGTCGCACGCAGGACAAGATCCAAACGCTGAGGATCTGTGAAACGCGTGCATCAGTACGTGCAAAATCCTGATCTCCTTCAGGGTTCAACAACATTTTTCCCCTGGAAATCCCTCCCATGGATTTATTTTAATTTAATTCAGTAGATAAGGACTTGGCCCTTTGGTTCGGGCGCTGCATGGCTGAACCACACCAATCCTCCCGCATCCCTGGAGGTGGCACCGAGGGTCATTGCTGTTAAGCAGCACACGGCTCCTGAGCCAATTCCTTCACCTGGACAGAAGGAGCTTTCTCCCACAGGTCACTGAAAACCAGAGCCCGCGACTCCCCTATTTGTCTGCTCGCTTGGCCAGCGGGGGGGAGCAACTCTGCAGCCTCCCAAACTGAACATGGGGGCCACGGATGCTTCAGCGAGGGGGCCAGCCTGAACGCAAGGGCTGTCACAGCCTCTACCTGCCCCAAGCAGCCACCCTTCGCCTGCACGAACCTCCGCAAGGCGACGCTGCTCGTGCCTGTGTGGTTTTAATCGCCCGTTTGGTTTGCAAAGCCCACGCTGCGGGCTCCCACACCCCCCAGACTGGGCACTGCTGAAACCCCACTGAGCAGCACGGCCGATAGAGCTCCTGAACAAAATTCCACTATTTGCATTAATAAGGACAGAAAAACAGCTTTTCTGGGTAGAAAGCTGACTGATTATGCCCTCAAGTTGCGCCAGGGCAGGTTTAGGTTGGACATTGGGAAAAATTCCTTCCCCTCAAGGGCTGTCAGGCATGGGAAGGGGCTGCCCAGGGAAGGGGTCGAGTCCCCACCCCTGGGGGGATTTAAAAGCCGAGCAGATGCGGTGCTGGGGGACAGGGTTTGGGGGTGGGATGGCAGGGGTAGGGGAACGGTTGTGCTGGGTGAGCTTAAAGGGCTTTTCCAACCCAAACGATTCTGTGATTCTATGATAATTCTTCCATACGCACAGCTCAGGCTGCAGCCCGGGCAGGAGCTCAGAGCCCTTCCACCTCCACCGGCACGGCCGGCGACGAGCGCCCACGCTGCCCCTTCCCCACCTTCTGCCCTGCTGCGGTGGAAACCTGGGGCCACAAAGCGCAGCCCCGGGGGCTGGGGACCTCTGGCAAATGCAGTCTGGATTTGCACTTCAGAAAGCTGCAGACTGTCGCTGCCTAGCATACAAAGCACCAGTAACTTTTTTTTTTTTTCCCTGCTAGTTAACTTTGTCCCTGCTCCAAAGAGCCGCTTCTCTTCCCAAGATAAGGGGCCGGG